GTAGTAGTAGTAGTAGTAGTGGTAGTGGTAGTGGTAGTGGTAGTGGTAGTCGTAGTAGTAGTAGTAGTAGTAGTAGTAGTAGTAGTAGTAGATAGTAGTAGTAATAATAAAAGTCTTGTGGAAGTAAAAGTAGTAATGGTAGCGATAATAGTTTTCATACTCATAGTTGTGCTAGTAGTCGTAGAAACCCTAACCCGAAAAACACAACCCTAAAACCTAAGCACCTGACCTTAAACCCTAACCCTAAAACCCTAAAGCGCCAAGCCAGTACTAGTGGTCATGGTGAATGAAAAAGGTTTTGCACTGTACCCTGGTTTGATGTGTGCTGTGGATCTACATTATATAACATATAGCATATCAAAACGGCTACTAGATGTAGATTCTCTGCTCGATATCACTGTTCGCTGACGTCTCAGCGGTAGATCTATATACAGTAGATCATTGGTTGTTCAGTCACCGGAGGTATAGCAAAGGAAAGCAAACCAACCACACCGGATCGGTCGTCAGGATCGGTCGCCAGAGAGGACTAGCGAAGAAAAGGAAGCCAAACCAAACATACCGGATCGGTCGCCAGGAACGGTCACCAGTGATCCATGGTTCTTGGTCGCTGACCCGGGGGGGCATTGGTCGCCGATCCGGAGAGAATTAGTCGCAGATCCGGCGACCAGTGGTCACTGGTCGCTGATCCAGCAGTCGCTGATCCTGGTCGCTGATCCGGACCCTTAGTCGCTGATCGGACATTTATCCTGTGCAGCATGCGCGCGGACACGATAGTAGCAATGGCCAACATCTCCAAAATGGACATGCTGGTCCCAAACGATAGAAGCTGAAGAGTGTCCTTATGGCCACCCTCATGGAAACCAAGGACCGGATGAAACAAACAGCCATAGTGCGACTGCTCGCAAAGCATTTAAGGACAAGTCTGCCAACACGCAGAACCACTGCACCACAATGTTCATCAACATCCAATGGCACGGTGAACGACACCTCAATTGCCCAAAAAATTGACAGCATCTTATTGCATCCTCAGCTTTCACCAAACAATTGTTGATATATATATATATATATTGTTGGATTCCTCATCCTAGATACAACAATGACACTTCCAATCATACACTATCCACTGATGTCTTGAGGCCAGTTAAGTGGCCTCCGTAGGCACCACAAAGCAGCACATCTTCTCCAGCCAAGCTTCTGCACGCCTTGGCCGGCGTAAGTGCAAGTGAGCAAAGCGCTGTTCGTGACACTGTTGTGAGCAGCAGCTGAATTGTGTCCCGGCATCGGCATCATTCAAACCAGGAAAAACACTCCCAGCGTCAGACACAACTGGGCATAAGTCTTAGGCTGCACTCCTGACTGGATCAATCACGATTGTACAAACTTTAGAATCTATAGTAAATCTGAACTTGGGTGCTTGGTCCTTCCGGAAAAACTTGGAGCGTCACAATGACACTTAAGAATACTGTTTCTCTTAACCTGTCACTGGGACTGAATGAACACTCAGTACTAAACAAGCATAGACTGTTTCCCACTTCCCAGAGCTGGCAGCTGGAATCTATGTAGGCCTTTGGGTGCAGCAAAGCGGGGTGGAAACTATTTTTGACGCTGCTATCCAACGATTGGGATTGAAAGTGCACTTGCCAATCAATCGCGGTGAGAGGAAAATCCGTGAACTTTACAGAAACGAGTCCCCCAGTCTTTCCTTGGTAGATACTGGAAATTTCAATCTGGCCTGTACTTCACCTCTCTCAGTCTGCTATGGGTGGCCGGGCTTGTAGTCGCCTGCCTTGGCGCAAACGTTCAGTACAAAGCTGAAGGTCATTGCATTGGCCTCAGCTCCACGATAAACTCCTGATTCTCATTCTTTTTTCCAGCCACGTCTCCCAATGACAACTATTAACAATGCAAGGCGTGGGCGTAGCTTCAGGTCCGCGAAGCAGCTTAAAAGTCTCTGTTTATGGCTGCGATCAAAATCCGTGCATCTTGCATAACACTTTCTTGGTAGTCCCAACCTCTCAGCAAATTTTCAAACACATGTCCTTTTTTGCTTCATGCAGCCAATTGCCTGCTCAAAGCTGTGTTTTGAGCTGGAAAAACACCTGACATAAAGGATCTTCCTTATTGGTTCTGAGGATGTGGCCTAACAGTCTAACAGTTTCGATTTTCTATGTAAATAAATCGAAACAATTCCAAACTTTTGGGCTAAACAATTCGATGTCCCGTTGGGCGCCCTGAGTTGGGTATGCAGTCACTGTACACCTTAATTGCTCTATGCGAGGCATCCACTCTCTTCAACGTTGCCCCTGTAAGATGGATAGCTTCAAGGCATCAACAAAATAAGCAATTGCCATTTGACGTCCGCATTTGTTGTCTTCTAGTACGGCAAAAGTCTGAACCATGTTTTCTTGCTTCCTGCATTTTGTTCAAATGTTGTGTTTTATGTTGGATTCATCGCTGACTATATTTTCAAGGTAAGTCGCCTCATATCTTTTTGGGATTGCCAACCTTGACCAAACCATCATTGTTCATCTGTATCACCACATACTCATCTTTGATTAATCGCAAACCGTTTCTAGCAATCTTGAATGATATCGCAGCAATGTTGGCTGAAACTCATGTTTTTCAATGCAAACATCGAGATCAATTGATCATGCTGTATCCTGTCAAAATGTCAAAAGCCTTCTCCCAAGAGCTCCTTCTGCCTCAGCAAAGTCTTTTTTTCTGCGGATGACATAGATGGCGTGAGAAGCGGATTTTTTAGGTCTAAAGCCGAATCGAGTTTTAGAAGAGTGATTGTCGATAGCATCTTGCATTCTCTTTCGGGATCATGACCGTAACTTGTAAAGGCTGCTTAGGAGCAAAATAGGTCAGTGTCTCCCTTTTTGAAAATTGGAACCACGCTTGCCACATACAAGTCTTTTGCCGCCTCCTTATGTTGCCACCAGTTGTTAATTAGGTTCAGGAGGTGCTGCCGGTTGTCATGATAGTCATCTGGGGCAGGTTGCTTGTGTTTTTTTGAAAATACTTGAAATCTGTAGTGCACCGTTTAATTCTTCAAGTGTGAACTGTCTTTCATCTTTTCCATTTCTTTGTAAGATGGGCGCGTTGTGTGGCATACCTGCATCAACATCATTCTTCCAATGTTTAGACTCTAGACTCTAGGTAATCAGCGATGGCCCGCGATCTTTGGGCAATGAGAAGATGCTTTCCCTTTTCAGTTTTCATTTGCGCGTACTGTGGTGTGAATTTTCTTTTTGATCCCGTAACTGCGCTCCATAACCTGGTTTTGCTTGGGTCATTGAGGTTTTCAGATTATAATCAATGCAAATCTTGGCCAAGAGGTTCTTGGTTGCTCCATGTCTCCGAAGTTGGAAGCAACTACTAGTATATAGTAATGCCCACATGCTTTGGACATACTGTATGTCTTTTTCTTCTCGACTGGGGCTGTTTCCAAATTATGCTGTGCTAAAGATTGCAAACAAACCCATTCAAACTGAACATATGCTGCGAGAATACCTGATGAGCAATGAGAAGAAACTCCTTGGAATATTTGTGCAGCCATTCAGTTGTCAGTTGTCTTTGATGATGATTGAATCTTCTCAGGGCAACCAACAAGCCTGCCAACCAATCTCTACTAACTGCAAGAACATGACTGACACCCAATCTTAATATGGTCAACTCGGCAAAATGAAGTGCTGAACAAGGATGCTACTGGTAAGAGTGGACTGGGACCTGAACTATATAGTGTGTTTCAACACGTTGACCAGTGAAGCCTTGGCAGCCCTTGCAAGTGGCTGAGAATATTATATACAGTAGATCAAATGCTTCCAGTCTTCTCGACACATGGAAGCAACTTTGTCGGGTGCCAAGTGATGTGGCTTTGCGCGACGTCCCGGAGCTTCACAAGAACTCTCCAGTGTAGTATATACAATTTGCGAAGGCCTTGCTTACTAAGGTTGCTGAGCTGGTGTTGCAGTAAACTTCCGCGTGGAGATTTACGCAGCAAGGAAACCATGTGAGAGCAAAGTCAGAGAAACTGCAGTGTGTACATATGACAACAAACATCAACGAACCATGAAACTTGAACCCTTCCCGTCGTTGTTGTCACTGAATGACCAAGTGACCTCGATGCCAGCAGCATTCATGAACCCGAAGAACCTTGACGGGGTAGCACGCAGGGAGAAAGTGGAGCCAACAAATTATTGTCTCAAGGACTATGGACTATGAGCCTATAGTATGTGAACAAATTGGACTACAATGCCCGCCCTGCCTCTCTGCGCGAAGCACATCCCCAGCTTTGACACATGCATTGATTAGTGCCTGAGTGTTGCTGAGTTTGCGCCCTTAGTCTGAAAGGAAGTTCGGCTTTGACATACTCAATTGGGAAGACAGAGCCCTGTCAAGGTAAGACGACAAGACGTGTGAGAATCCGCTTTTTTGAAAGCGGCCAAAAATGCCAAACAAATGACACAGTCCACATCTTTTGATGCGCTCAAAATCAAAAATATCCAAACCAAGCTCCAAAAGGATCTGCAGAACCTTCCTCTGTGTAGCGCTTGGGTCCTCTGACCTCTGTCTGTTCTCAGCGACGGGCAGAATCTCTCACCCGTGCCTGGTACACCCTGTCTAGCTTCTCAGGGCCAGAAACGCCTGGTAGGGGGCCAGTCGCAGAGCGGTCAAGAGGACAACGACCGGATCCGGTTTGGGTGGGCCTCGGTCAGGAAAAGGCATCTGCCGCCAGTAGGCGGGGTGCTTTTGAAAATGCAATAAAGTCAGCAGGCGTCTCCAATCGGAGAGTCGCATCCAAGCTGGAAATCAGGATGGGTCAACTCATCCGCCTAGGTGTTGTACTCACGTGGCATATGGCTAGGAGCCACACTGCAGCCTTCACGGTGCAGCAGCAGCAGCAGCAGCACAAGTTCCATCAGGATGGCCGCTGTGTGGGACTTCTTTGAAGAAAGGTTCAAGAGGCTGAAGACATTGCCGGAGTTAGAGGGCATCCAGGAACCTCACCCTGTTGTCGTAGAAGTGTGCCGGGCAGCTCGAGGGCTGCGGTGTGGTTTTGAGGGGTGTGTGGCTGGGTCCCCAGATTAGTGGAGCCAGTAAACCATGTTCTTAGTGGGTGGCTTGTCTGGGATGGCTCCGCGGCTCCAGCTGTGCCCCCAGATCCAGCTCTTCCACCATGGTGCAAAAGCTGCCAGGTCGGCCTCGGGCCATGTCAGAGCTAGGAACTGTGTCCACGTCGAAAGTTTCGCCCTCCACGGCAGTGTCAATCATGGCGAATTCCTGTTCCACTGGCGAAGCCATAGGGTGCTGGAAGGACAAGGAATTGCAAGGTTTGCAAACATGCAGTGAATCGACACTGCTTCTCTCTTGAGCCAAAATGTCCCGGTGGAACATTTCGGCGACCTTTGTGAACATATAAACCTTGCAAACGCAAGCTACATGCAAGTGTGAATCTATCCTCTTTTACTTCGAGTTGGGGCCATAGTGGTGTTTGCTGAAAGGGACCCAGAAGTACGGTTTGAGCAAACAAATACAGTAACCAAAAAATGACAAGAACAGGAAAGAAAGACCGGACATGAGATCAACAGTAACTTCTAGCGGATCCAGAGTAGATGAGTACAGTATTGCATTGCGTGTAGGTTTTTGCAACTGAAATGTGTAGAGCACAGTTTGGCCCTGCAGGACTATGTGTGAATCTGACCAATGGGCGGGGCTATGCCCCGTGTGTGATTGTGATTTGTTTGCATTGACAGGATTTGGCGGTGCGTTGAGGACAATTGATTTTCTTTCATGCCTGTCTGACTTGGTGAGCTGCGGAATCGGTTTTGGGCCAAGACCAAAGGGGAAATCCCTTAGTCTTAGTAATGTAGTGGACCTGGCACGATCATAAGCCCTCAAAACACTTCCTTTAAACTCAGCATATCCAGGCTGTATCCATCCAATATAGGCAGTCACCTATCATTTCTAGAGGGCATCATTTGGAAACAGACTATTGTGGATCATTCAGAGGAACATGAAAGTCCCCTCGTCGCTGGACTTCCGGGCAACCGCATCCCACAACCAAGCCCTCGCACGGTGTAGGTGACGACATTTGCCTCACACAAGTGACCCCAAGCAGCAACATTCGCCTCTCAAGCCTCTCGTCCTCCTCCTCCTGAGTTTTATCAACTTTATGAGCTCAGCAGGATCTCTTCTGATGCCAGGCTAGGCCAGGCAGCCATGAGATCTTGTGTCTTCAGTTCTTTGGAGGAAAGATGCAAAAGTATTGAACATGATTATCAGATTCTGCTTTGTTGGCCACACACGCCCGCAAGGTCGCATGATTGCTCCGTTCCTCCAGTTGCTTGCTTTTCATCTGCTCCATGATCTCCTCAGCTGCCTAGCACATTTGAAAGAACGGGCGCTGCACGCGTTGCAATCTGCCACATGGGGCATGGGCATAGTTCAGATGGATAAAAACAGATGTGCGGCACTTTAAACAATTTGGCAAAAGGCTCCCATGGCAGTTCTAAACTTAAAGACACATCCTCTTTCACTTAACACAATCTGATCGTCACAATGTTAAGGGCTGTACCTGGAAATGACAAAGCACTACACATTGTCTGCACATGTCTGCACTACTTCCAGCTTTTGCTTGAAGCGAAGCTTGGACTATTTATATCTAAAGCTTTATGCACCTCCCTTAATCGCCGGTGGCCTCAATGTTGCCCTGCTTTGCGTAGGCGTTCAGGACTGTGGTATAGCTTATCACTGTTGGCTCCACCCCGACCTGGCTGTCAGTCGAAAGAGAATGAAACATTGGGGTCCAGAGTGGTGGAAGCTTGCTAAATACATTTCTTTGCAAATACACTCAAAAAAGAACGAAGACAAAAAATCCCAGCCGACAAAGCGGCCAAACTGCAAACCCTGTTCAGGCCTTATCTTTTAGTCAAACCGCAAAACTGGCATACCTGTCCTGTGCCTGTGTGCACCATGTCTGCCCTTGAAAAACATATATAATGACTGCGTTAGTTAGTTTCCGGGCATGTATTCTATAATGTACGGTCAAACACATACTGAATCTACGGTCTAAGGTCAACCAACCAACATATGCTTTGAGGCTTTGCCCCGGAAAAGAACCTCAAGCCCCAAACAACCACACTCAACGTCCACTTCGCACAAGGGCCATCTGAGGAAGTGCATCGTTCAACAATCCTGGTCTCACAACCAATGTGTTACAGTTTTCAAACAGCCATTGGCACCAGCATCTATTGGAGCATCCATCAAAGGCAGTTTTGGCCTATGCTGAAAAATATGGTCTGAGCATGTTGCAGCGGTTAGCGAGATAAACTCATCGTGCACCACTCACACTCCATCTTTTTATGAAAGGCACACACACATATATATATATATAGATACATAATTAAGTATCTTTTTGTCACATAGTGCATCATAGCGATCATAGTGCATTCTGCATTGCTGCATGGATGTTGTGCATACCGGCCTCCAGCATCCGTTCGAGCCAGTACTTGGCCCGCTGGACATCTTCGGCTTTCACCCATGCATCGATCAAGGCATTGAAGCTAACAACATCTGCACCTTGGGTCAGGCTTGGCTTTGGAACACGCAGAACGCCTTGGCCAATACCCTCCCTTGCAGCGTTGAATGATCAGGTGGACCAAACAGTTGTCAAGAAAAGGCCCACACTGGACAGAAGGGCCTCCTCGCCAATTAAATGAATTTGGTTGCTGGCTCACGGCTGGGCAGTTTGTTGGGGGTTGGTTTAAGGCTCACCCTTGTGAATGCAAGTAAAACCAAAATCATAAGAACGGTCTCAACATGACAAAGCATGCCCCAAATTCTCTGCTAGCGATCAGTGTAGTAAGATGTAATAAGGGCTGCGCAATATTATCATTGGCATCACTGAGGATCCCTGGCGGGTTTGTCCACGCATCAAAATCATCTCGAACCTGAGTTGGTGGCAGGGCTGGAAAAGCAGTCTTGAAACGACACATTCCAAAAGGAAACTCCAACAATGGCATAGCATCATGGCAGGGAGAGCCAATTGACTGAAAAGGCTAAACAAATCAGGATCCCCAATGTACAAGCCTGTACCACTCCGGCTTGACGAACGCCTCTCTGTGATCCACTCCTTTGAGCAGTTCCCTTCCAATTGCGTCCACCAAGTGAATGGCCTTCAAAGGCGAACATCTCAAAGCTTAGCCTCTCAGCTTTTTGCCCTGTGATCTTGTTGCAGGCTCGTCCTACTGCGGTAAACTATATGAATGGTACGTAGCTGATGACGTCCTTTATGCAAATCTGTACTTGGCACGCTTCGAGTCTAACGCGAGGGATAGCAATCATCAAAGGCTATGGCTATTGTGTTTCCCTTGGGCCCTTCGGTGGTACGCCAACGGAGACAAAGCTGCAGTTGCAAGTTTCCCTTACCAGAAACGTCTTTTGCGTGCATCGTTGAAACTACACTACCGGACTCTTTACCAATCAGCTGAAATCTTGGCGGAACATGTATATATATATATATATGTATTTGCAACTTGGGTCAAGGTCCAATAATACCATTGGCCTTTGCCCTGATCGTAATTCGTCCATGTCGTTCCAAGGCACATTTCCTCAGCTTTCTTAGGTCGCTTTCCCCGTGCAAAGCTGTGCACCGCCGCTGCCAAGGTCACCACATCTGGCTCAATGCCATACCTGAGGCTTCAGCACAAGGATTCCCAACGAACAGTGGATCCATCAAAAAGCAATCAAACGCTTGAGCATCGATTTGTGGGCACTGCTGATCACCTAAGGAAACTCTCAACTGCAAAGGTAAAACATGGTAAAACGCTTTTGCCCCCAACCTCCTACCCCACTTCGCATTTTAAGAATGCATACTTTACACTAGCAGAACTGAGGGGCCTGTAGCAAAACTCCCTATTAGATCTGATTGCCGGCTGAAGGTGCTGGCACATAAACCGCACCAGGCGCCTCAATTGTGAAGTCCAAATGATGCGGCTGTGAAGCTGCTTGCAGCCCCTTTCGTTTCCTAGTTTTCCAACGGTTTATTGGCATTGCAGTATATGTATCATATACATATATGCAAGCTGTACAGTATATTGGCTTTGCTTACAGTCCCTCTATCTGCATCGGAGAGCTCTGCTGCATGGAAATTTCCCTGGCGGTTGTGGCAGGCGATCACCTCAAAGTCAAACCACTCACGAGCGAATGTGACGAACGTGTCCAGTCCAGAAAACAGCCGTTCATACCCTCCAGCTCCAGTGTGACATGGCCCTTAGAACAGTTGACATCAGTTGACCAGTGGCCGCTTTCCAGGGCACTTACTGAGGTCGGAATGTTTTGGTGCTGAGATTCTTGGAAATGTCCACTTTCCCAGCTTTCCCAACAAGATATATACTTAATTAGCACACACTAGCACACTCTCAAACAAACAAACCAACCAACCAGCAAACAAACATGACCGTTGAACCCATTGACCATTTATCGACTAACACCACCACCACCCCAAAACATCGGCTGAAGAACCGCTCCAATTGCTTTATGCAAGAATCCATAGTTAACTTTCCCTAAAAATCTAGGAACCAAATGAATAGTGCGAGCGCTGCTTCAAGGACCTGCGTCCATACTAGTAGCTTAAGTAAGGCACTAGCAGTACAAAAGGGGGGAACCCATGTATATATATATATATCGGATAGGCTTGAGTTCTGAACCGATGGAGCAATGAATTCTTTGTGCAAATCTTTGGACAAAATTCTCAAGCCAGGAGGCGGCGTTGAAGCTGCTGGAATCTCGTGAGAGGCCATTCTCTGCTTGGAAGCAAATCCACCTCTCTGGGATGTCTGCCTGCAAATGAGACTGAATTTATCTTGGGCATTAGGTGCAAAACGATTCTCTTTGGAGATGGATGACAGTTCGTAAAGGCAAGCAAGGTTGCACCCTCAGAGGTCCACTGGCGCTTACAGTAGGGGTCGACCAAAACCTCCCATGATCCATTTTGGCTATGATTCAACAACGATATCCTTCTTAGAAGCTAGAAGAACCACTGCTTTGTACTAGGAGTACTAACGGGTTAGCGCTTAGTCTCTGATGATGCAGGCATGAGTGCACGCATCCATGTGCGCACCACTCCAATGACTAAGTCAGCAGCAAGTCAGTGAGGGGTGTGCATGCCAGGTTGCTTTAACAGGACATAGTCATAAGCAAATACAGCCGAACTCGACATTATTTGAACATGGGGCCACCCCAATTCAAACTGGTGAAGAGAACGGAGCAGAGAAACTTGCGCCTCATCAAAATGAGCCAATGGATCAACCAGTGACAAGTGGAGCCACCATCTTGCATCAAGACAAATCCATTGAAACTTTATTCTGCAAGTCCATCGCAAGTCCTTATTTATAGGTTCTTTGGTCTTCAATTTACCCATCCGTATAGCAGTCTGTGCTACATGCGGTGGCCTTGCCCAAGCGGATACCACCACCCACGACACTGCTGATCCACAGAGATTCTAAAGGCCCCGCTCCTGGATGGCGACAAACCAGTGCCACACGTAGACAGTGAGTAGTTAGTATTGGTCGGGGCACGCACCTCAAGTCTATCATCAAACATTAGTCCTACAAAAGGGTTTACCCCCTAGTCAATATCCGCACAACATCGGTAATTACAGCAAAACGTAACAGGAACCAACTGCAACTGCCGTCCCCCATGCCACACCTTTTCAACACCGTCGTTGCATGAAACAAACCTACAACGTGCCCAAATAGGCAATTTGATTTCTGTTTTGTGGGAACTTCATCGGGGCCGTTGATGTACAGTAAACACCGACAAGCAGAACCAAATTCTTGCTGTGAGAAATAAAGAATCCAACATTTTCTGCGTTCAGGAATCGGCAACTACAGATCGCTTTCATAATCTATATAAGATTTTCAACCAAGAGAGAGAGAGAGAGAGAGAGAGCACCCAAACTGTATGAATGGAGTGACATGCTATTGGGAAAATATGTATTATAACATATTATAGCAAATCTAATCTGAATAAAAATATGAAACAACTCAACCTGGAATTTGCTGGAACTTCACAAGCAAAACTCCGCTCATCCAAGTCACCCAAATCTACAGCGAGCTGAAGCCACCGATCTGCAGCCTCCAAATCCTTGTGGGGGCGGCCACCCATGGGGTTTCATTCACAAGAAACACAAGTGTTGTGGAGCAAGTTAGGCTGTGAAGGCTTTAAGTGATTGCACTTCTTTCACTGTACGGTAGCTGGTTACAATCAATCGGAAACACCCCGAACTCAAAGCAGGCTGGTTCAGGCCTTTGGCCAGCAAAAAACAGGGTGCAACCCAGTGATGGGTTGGTCAAAGGCAAAATCAACACCACTCCGAAGGATCAAAGGTGCAAAGCCTAAACCCATCAAAGCAAGGCCATGTCAATGTGCACTGTGACTGTGACGAAATGACGTCGCAAACGTCTCTGTGGAAAGTGCGTTTGCCAACCTCGGTCCGTGCCTGCAAATTGATGCATCAAGTGTTATATGATGTTATTTGCAAAGATGTCTTGTTGCTGGTGAGTGGGATGACTGCTGGTGTCATCATGGTTTGCGGACACCTTGTTGCATCTAGTATGTGGAACGCGATGTGGCGAAATTACGTTTGTGGCATGGCCGTGCCACGCGTTTTGGCTGGATTTGGGTGAAAAACGTGACTGTGTGTCTCCATGTCTTTGGGGGACAAGAAACATGCGTGAAAATGCCGCGTGTCACGAGTGAGCGGGATGATTGCTGGTGTCAATGACTGAGGCTTGGTGTCATTTGTATGCTGCGAGCGGTGTGGTAAACCTATGTCGGAGATGTGGATGCTTTTCGTGAACAGCCTCCGTGGAAACACTGATTCGGGTCGCTTCGCAACAACAACCGCCCGCACCATTGGCTCTTAGGGGTCCAGATATCTATAGTTTCTTGCAATCGTTCTACTTTTCGACCTAATTGAAGCTGCACAGGGCTGAAAAAATCTTTTGTTTGTTGCTCGACCCCCTTGAAGCTGTACATTTTTCACGGGGCCCAAATTATAGCCTTCTTGAATAGAATTGAAAATGGTTTGACTACGAAACCTCACTCTGCAGCAGTAGGCGCCTCTTTTCGCTTGCAGATGAGGGTGCCTGGTGCAGCTGCTGCAGGTCTGTTCTCCGAGCACGATCTGCCACAGGTTTCCTGGCATGTGGATCTTCATTCCATTGAAGGCAGGCACGTGGGTCACCTCAATCGCAGCCGCCCCGGGGATGGTCGCGAGGGGCAGAGGCCATCGCCAAACCCCGCCGCCTACCTGCTTGCACCCAGGACCAGGGCTCCTTTGCAGAAAGGACCTCGCGTGACCATGGAAAAGGGATTCGAGTTTCAAGTGAAATTGCGCGGTTTCTTTGGAGAAGAGGTTGGTTGATTCACTCAGAACCTTCCATTGGTAGGAACACACTTCAAGGTTAGGGAGACAGCCAGCCTGTTCGTCTGGTTGAACACCTGAAAATTGGGGATGAGTCAGATCGTTGCCCATTGGTTGTGGTCTCTCTTCAGGTGGAAAGGGCGGTGTGCAACGTTGCCCTGCTTGTCTGAAATCAGGTTGGTCCGAAAGAGCTGGTGCATGCGCTCGAGCTGCCTCCTGGTGCTGGGGGGGTTCCGAATCTCTTCCTCGTCTTCCCTCTCCAAGCCATCAACGGTGAGATTTTGATGGGCCTTCCGGCAGTGCCAAGATGATGTGCTTGCTCTGGATAGCCAACAGCTCCGCCGTCAAACATCGCTTAAACTCTCAATTGCCTGGTCGGCACACTGGAGACTCCTGGAGGAGCTGATTGGCCTGTCTGACACACTGTCACACTGTGTCCTTTTCCCGTTCCGGCCCCCCGGGCCGAATTCGAGGTCTTGGGGTGGGTTTGACAAATATCCGAGCTGCACCTGGTTGTGCAGCTGCGAGATGGGTTCAACATAGGCCTCCGGCCGGGGCGCTGGTGGGGCAAGGATGTCCTCCAGTGCCGCCATAACCGCTGAACCCAGGGTGTGGTGGGTGGGCTTTTCAAATCTTAGTCTCACAGAGACACAGCTTGAGCCAAAATGGCATGGCCATTGTGGCAACTATATCAACAACACATTGCTTGCTCTACACAAGCTCCGAGCAAATGTCAAATTCAACAAAAACTGCAAGTTGCAAGTAAACAGCAAGACACATTTACAACATCTATGGTTCATGGTCGGCCCCGCTTCACCAAGGAACCAGGGGGGCCGACTCAAACCATAGAACATCATAGAACCATAGATTCTCCCAACTCGTTCTGCAAAGCGCGGTGGCTTCGGCACACAAAATGTATCCACCAGCAATTACTTTACATTTATGAAATTTCTGATGCAAATAAGAACGGTTGCTCGATCTCTCCACTTGAGTTGTAGAATAGATGTAGCTGCTCACTTGGAATGTGGTATGCCTCCAAATGTTGAGCTTCAAAGCTGTTCGATTATCCACTCTGCTCACCCCCATTCTTGACTCCACCTTCCGCCCACCCTGCTTCGCAGGTCCTCTACATGGATGCAACTCCTCGGATTGACATTGAAAAAGTATCGGTATTGTGATCATGGGATATCATCTGTGCCCTTCCAAATACATGGGCAACCACGAGTGGTGCATGTTGCAGGTTTGTGAGGGAGGGGTACACAGTGAAGTTGCTTTAGTCTGCATTGCAAGGGCATGTAAGGAGGTATGTCTGTGTTGTCCGTCGCATCGCCCCTATTCCATCTACGATCTAAGTCATGACATTGTTATGATTTGCTATGCAAAACTTGCAATTATGAAGAACACATAGGACCTACTTGTCCAAAAGAAATGCTTACCGGCGCAAGAAACATAGGCCTACGGTACCACGTCAATCAATCGGTCGGCGACAAACACTTGGCAAAGGTTTTTTGGCTTAACAAATCGGCCAGGTCGCTTGATGATCTGGTTGAAGGCCGCACAGTCTAATTGCATCTCCTTGGCCTGGCAGCAGTAACCGAACCTATCGATGGAAGCTATCTCTGGAAGTTTCGATATTGCCTTGATGCTGTGTGAATGGGTCCTGGACACCCTGGCTCAACTGGGCTTTGGCCAACCCAGCAATAGGACTTCCAGTACTGCTGCTAGGAAGTACAAACAGCAGGAAGAAACAAGTCTCACTTGAGAGGAACGTGTAGTGTAGAGGGGCGCTGCGGTTCGCTTTGCGTTTTTGTCTGTTGTTGTGGGTCATCAGGCGCGCAGTTTTGCGAGCTGAATGCCGTAGCGGCGCACAATGCAAAGAAGCGGTTTGCCTTTCAAAGTGCTACCAGTCGGAAGTGTATTGCAATCGCTTTCTACTTGCATTTACTCAAACAGTACAGTTCCATCTTCAGTATTTGGATGGTCCACGAAAAGAACAACACCAAGAGCAAACAAGTCGTATGCGGCTTCCCGGCCTTGACCCGCTGCATATAGTCGCTTGCAGATTTTTTCTTCGCAAGTTTGTAGGCGGAAACTACCTGAGCGAACTTCCTCAAGTCTCAAGGAGCAATGCTGAAAAATGATGGTGCAATTGAAAGACACCTTAATCATAATCTTTTTGTCAAACTGCTGTCTGCCAGTACAACTTAAGTATGACAGCAAACAACTCTAGCTGGTGCAACTGATCATAAGGAGCCACCTGGTAGTGAAAAAGTCAAGACCAAAAGCGTTGTAGATTGTAGACAAATAGCTGAGGCAAACCTATGCAACTAAATTGCAAATATTCTACCACCTCATGCAACTTCTCTAAACAAATGTGCACCGACCCCAATACATCCTTCAGCTAGAGATCAGCGCCAATGGAGCTGGAATCTGGTGGAAAATGACTTGTCATTCCTTGGTTGCACATCGAGACTTGTGTTCGAAGAGGAAGAGTTGGGGCAGTTGGGTGCAATGAAGTTTGCGGAGCCTTTCTGTATAGATTCAAAGAACAAAGAACGCTGATGGGAGATTGCGGGCCCATGGGGGCCCATGGCCTTGTGGTGCCAGCCATGTTTGGTTTGCTGGCAGGTGGCAGGTCATAGTCGTTTGCAACAGCCCCGTTGCTAGATCTAGTGCATGACTGCATGACCGCTGCTAAGCCAGGGTTGAGGGTCCAGAGTGGAGGTTGCGCAACGTACGTACATCGGTTGTGCTGCATTCTCGAGTCTTATGCAATCACAAAGAATCTCGAAGAGTTCGACACGTCTTCTCTTTTTAAATGAATGTTACGCATGCTCAGAAAGGTGAGTCGAGGAAACTGCCAGATTTTGAGGACAAGCAAACCATACGAAGCCATGAATGCTAAACCTCGAACGGAAACCCAGTTCTCTGAACGAAGACGAGTGAGCTCTGGTGACAGATGTTTTTTCCAAGTTTCTCTCGAGCCAGTTCTCAGCCAACTCCGGTTGCCCTACAACGACAGAAAAGCAAAACTGGCTTCGAGTGCTGCAAACTTTTGACATTCACGACCCTGAAAACCTGCGACACTCTACATACATCATCCTGGACATGCAGTCACTGGAGTAGTATACTCAAAGCCATTATGTCAAGAATTGCTTGAGCTGTTGTAAGCCCACCAAACAGTGGCTAACACATGAGTAAGTCTGGCCCTGCCTAATCGCGCCGTGGCATTGATCGCACTGTGAAATAGATGAGCTTCAAGAGGAACCTAGTTACGGCTGAATGCACATTTGGTTTCCACCAAAGTAGTTGTGCGAATGATGCGACAAATTCTGGTGGAGGCTTGCCTCGACATAGGTAAGCTGGTCATGATCTTGGTATGTCAGGTGCAATGGTGCAAGCATCCTGCTTGATGGAGTACAGTAGTCGCTGGCCGCTGGTCAATTGAATGGGTTTTTGCTTGCAAGGATTTCTAAATTCTGATTCCCTAAGGTGAGCTTGTTGCACATGCGCTGTGCCGCCGTTGCAGCTGGTTTCAACCCGTTTGTAACTTATGAGACCTAGGTCCTTGAGTTGCTGAAGCAGTGCTAAATTGATGCTAAATATGGTGTGAAAATGGTCCGTGTGCTCTGCAGTGCTCTGTACTCTGCTCGCCTTGGACTCGATGGCGCGCTGCATCCACTGCTCGACGGTTTGGGAGCTCACATGCCTCGATGAAAAAGCGAAACTTTCTCTCGTCCCAAACTCTTCGAGCGGCTACACGTAGAGCTCTGGGGGCTCCTCCCGCGCCTTTCAGAGCGGAGAAGGGCCGAAATGCCCAAAAGCCAGTGCCGCACGCTTGTCTCGCGAAGGCACCGCAAAAGCTCCTGCAGCTGTGCATCTCGCCATGAAAGATGGAGACAAATAGAGAGGTTTCTAAGAGAACATCTGTCACACATTTGCAGCTGCGTTTGTATGCTGTACGCCTGTACGCAATTCTGCATTGCAAAAGCAACATGTTTCATCATGTTTCCCTGTTGCACCTCTGCTCGTGTCAGGTCAATACGCCGGAAGAGTGCTGTCAAGCTTCCGGATACCTGCAGCTTGGCTTTCAGGTTTGATCAGGCTTGACTGGGCTGTTTCGACAGTCCAAACATTCAGTTGGATGGTGCTTACTCACCTAGTTGAACCTTGCACAATCCAAATCCGCCAAATATGTAGGGAAACCGATGGAAACCAATGAGAATGTAAAGGACCTCTAGGATCTATAAAACGAGCTCCTTTCGGCAGGCAGCTGGGAAGCTGAGAAGCACAAAACAGTGCAAAAGATGCAGAAGTCCAGAATAAGGGTCCAATAAGGGTGCCCTTGACTTTTGTATCATATCACAGCTGGGTGTTTATCCGTGCCCTCCGCAATACTCTTGCATTCCCTTCCTCCCACTGCACTTGTATGCATTGCTTCGTTCTCACCCATAGGAATAGCAGGTTGAGCCTCTTGTTGAACATGTGTTGACGGCCATGCTGAAGCTTTGTTTCGTTGTAGAAAGGACATCATATTGCATAGTAAATCAGGCAACTCATTAGACCTCCACAATGTGGCCCTTTGTTGACTTCTATCAGCAAAGTTGTTTTCTGTGACCGTAGTACACTGCTCCATGGAGACAAAAAGCGCAAACAAATCTTACGTTCATAGGTGGCCTTTGAAATGGGCTCGCAGCAAACAGCGAGAAGGTCAAAGAGTGGTGATTGAACACATCTACTCACTGCAGGTCCAGCTGCCACTGCCACTGGGCTGTCAAGCATCTTCATCACCAGCGTTTCCGCCTCCAACAAACCCCAAATTCAACCAATTTCTCGGAATCCATCGAACGTTCGGCTGCATCTATGATGTGTATACTGCATGCTGATACACTGTACAGGTGCGTTTACACGAAGAAAACAAAGAAAAGCTTTGAAACATGAAAAAGAGAACGTGAAGGAGGATATTCAAACATGTGTCCATTTTCTATTAAACATGATACACACGCATAAAAACATGCAGAAACAAACCTGGTTCATACCAAATAACGAGACAAGCGACGTACAAACAATGGGAAGCAAACGCAAAACAAGGGCCCGGCAAGCTGGTCCCTGCCCCCCTGCTGTTACTTCGTTTCAGGTTTTCGACGTTTAATCGCTCTCTGCGAACTCACAATATCCTTGGGCGGCGACATGATTACCTCTTCTTTTAAAGTTGGCCTGCCCTTGTTCAGTCCTTAAGCCGCCTTGGTTGAGTTTACCTCGTGAGTTTACAAAGGCTTGTGATGTGCGTGATGGCCTTGATTCGTTAATCAAATTGAAGGTTCTAAACACCAGGATTGTCCTCCTAGCTGAGAGACTTGGCTTGGCATGCAAATGGATAAGAAACATTGTGCACTCCAAGTTGAACAACGGCTTCCAAAGCTTATCTTTTTTCCAGAAGTTAGGAGACATCGGGCGAGTTTGAGATGGGATACTTGTACCAATGGATGAACAAGGTAGGGCACTGAACTCAGATTAATCGATAAGAATTACCAAACTAAACAAGATTGACATACTAAATAATAAGGGATGCAGTTCTGAATTCTAGCCTCAAAACAAAATGACAGCCACTTGATATGAAACACACACCTATCCCACTTGCAGCATGACTCATGAACCCGATGCAGCAAGTAAAAGCTTTAGCAAAACTCATCTGCTCTCAACAGTATGCCAAAACGTCCCACCACTAGTGCCTCGACCAAACGTTCCTCCTTCAGTAGAGCATCGACCACAAGCTGCCCAGGCGAATGGACGGACAGAAGTTAGACTGTATTGCCGAGCCAAATACTTAAAAACATCCTATATTGGCAGTACTGCAATCACAATACAAATACAGTGTGTCATGTTCTCCAGGACTCCTTTTGGTTGGTTTGCAACAAGCTGCAGCTGCAGCTACTGAGCTACTGATTGCTGCACCAAAATTTTCACACCAAACGCAGGTTCAACACGTAGAAATGTTGCATTTCCCATTGTAGCATGCATCGCTTGGATGTGCTTTCTCAAATTTCATCAGCTTCCCTCGAACACTGACAACACCATCGGTGGCCTGAAGACTCTTCGGAATGATCGGAGCACCATGCGTTTTCAGGACTACCAGCCACTTGCTGGCATGCAGTGCACTCGCTTGGGCAGCACAAGCCTTACTTCCCAACAGCACGTCCTGGTTTGGCCTTGATTGCTGTTGGTGCTTCGATTAGTGGCTCGTTGAGCCCTATTGAAAAGTCCTCCTGCCCTCCCTTCAATAGATGCTATATAGCAAATACAAACATATTATATGTATACAGTATATATCTCTTCAATCTGATATGCAAGAAAACTTAGATGAACGTTGGCTAGTATAGTGGCGTTGCATGGAACTTCAAACAGTGTGGTGGCTCTCCGGACTCATCTGCCGGCGCACAGCAATGAGGCTGACGGTGGAGCTGGTGGAAAGTTCGCACCTGTCGGAATGTATCGTGTCACTGGCTTTTTCAGAAGGCAACCTTGGACTTTCTGCTAGTTGGTAGCAATTTTGAGTCTGACTCATCTCAAGTGACAGCTTCGCAACATCCCAAGTCGGACGCCCTAAAATCCAGTCTCGCAACCTTCTTCTCGAACGTGTGGCTTTTGTATTGTGGTGACCTGCCTTGGAGACTATGATCCCATTTGATCCTTCTCAGAATCAGGTTTCTGGACTCGTGAAACTCCGCAAGCTCCGCCTCAATTTGAGATTGATGAGACTATATAATATAAGACTACCAATCTGATTCCAATCTGCTGAGAGCACGCCACCTGACACAAGAAGCACGCGTCGAACGAGTTGAATACAGAGTCTGCTTCTAAACTGCATCCTACATATTGGCCTGGATGCATTCCAGGAATTGTTAGCCAATTGAAATGTATTGAGTAAGTAGGAGGTTGGCACCTGGATGGGTTCTGATCGTCAGTTCCTTCAATGATTCTGCTATTGAACAAATTAACAATGCTGCTAGCAGCTAACCCCAAACTTTGCACTATCTCTGTCGGACTTCAAACATATTCTGGAACTACTTGGTTGCTTCCCATGGCAAGGGCGAGGTCAAATTCCGCGGTCTTTGATCATCACTCCTACGATTTCAGGAATAGCAGTGGCAATGTGGCATCGCCTATAGGCACTAGCCGAGTGGGACCAAAGTGGCGACCTAGTCGAGGATGCCTATACCGTCCGTCAATCTTTGCACATCCCCATCTCCCACTTGCACCTGGATAGGCGAATGAAGTTCTCCTCTGCTGCTTGAAGATGCCCCTGCCTAGGCAACAAGCTACGAGAAGCTTGTGAAGTTTTGAACCCAGATCTATCTACTATCAACTGGCCCTACTCAACCAAGTAAGGTTGGCTTCCAAGCAGGGTTCCTTGCCCCAAACACCAAAGCAGGGGCATGGCTGAAGGTGCAAACGGACTCAAGTAGAAGCCACAGAGTCCACCGCAGTAACAGACTTAGCCATGATCAAGCTATGACCCATCTTGCATGACGTTCTTGTTTTTTTTTCTCTCTCTCTCTCTATATAGTTATCAGCTCATGCCGTGCTTGCAAGTTGCTCAAGTTCCTGCACCACCTGCCCCACCTGCGACAGTGACAGCATTTATGAGATTGTGTCTATACTTTGAGAGTCCATGCTACCCACATATTGCGTGAATGTGTAGAGGTCTTGGTTTCTCCTTCTACTGAGGATCCGCATGCAACCAGGAACCGTAGTCTTGGTAGCTCAAAGGATATTAGAACCAGTTGCGGCAACTATGCGCGGGAGACTCCATCACCAAAGAGCTGTGTTTTGCATGTCTATTCTGGTTGTCTCCTCTCAGAATTCCACGAGTCTCATGAGCCGCGCAAACTTTTGGAGCTAAAATACTCTGTGATCGAGTTGAATAGAATGTACGTGCTGTTCTCTTTCCATTCAATGCAGTCATGACGTGTTGACTTCCCAAAGATATATACTGTGTATATATATATATTATATAAATATGTTTCAACAACTTACCAAAAGCACATTCAGAAAACACTAAACACATTCAGACATTCACTGGAAGCATCTAGCCAATATTTGTGTTTCGCAGCTCACCCGTCCTGTGCATCTTCGTCTTTCAAGCGCCTGGTTCATTGATAGGGGTCGGACTCCTCTGATTGACTGCTCTGAAGTGCGAAACATATTATGCAACCACCCTTGCGTGTTCAAAACATGCTTGTCCAGGCCTTGGTGCGCTCTTTTGCGAACACGCCTGCAAAGTCTGTTCCAAACAATGAGAAGCCGCTGAACGTATCTTTTTGTATAGTAAGCTTACTTTGCGAGCTTTTGGATTTGCGCTTGTCGTATGATAGATTGCAAAGACTGGTTTATCTAAAGCATTTGATTATATAGGAGTTGCCACTAGATGCATTCCTCAAGTTGCCAGTAGACTGGTCGCTCCCACCGGGGCATCTTGACAAGGGACTGTGACCTACTACTCAACCGGTTCCAAGAAGTCACAGCATGCCCAAATTCCAGTGTTTGAACTGCAAGACAATGCAAATATGTATCTGAAAGAGGGTTCGATTGTAAGGTTTCTTTTAAACATCTTACCAAATCGGAGTTGTATTCTGCAGAGAATGAATTCGGATGAATCTGTTCTTGAAAAAAACACATTTCTTTATCGCTTGACATCTTGTTCGTTCACCAGTAGTGTCTCCCTTCTGCACCTTTTGGCCTCTCTTCGCAATCTTTGGGCCAGTGGCCAAGAGCAGTGCTCCAGTGGCCGAACCGCCTCATGCTTTGGTCTCAGAGTCCCAAAAGAGCTTTCTTCCCTGAATGCAGTGGGTATGTTCAGCTCCTCCACCTGTTGCCACTAGTCCCTAGGAGCCCTTGAAGAGCCAGGGCTCATATCTGCTCACACGAATTTTCGAGGACTCCTGTCGCGCTCTCCCCCCACTTACAGCCGCGGTGCTAAAGATGACCTCCCACAAGCAAGTAGATGGTTCCTTACAATCAAAATGTGCGAAATTCGAGGAGTTATGAAACTCCATGACTTGACTCTATCCTCAAGTGCACTTGATGTGGCGGGGCACAAAGGCTCTGCTGCTGTCCCAGCTGTGCTCGGAGATCGAAGCCGACGGCAAGATTTGGGCCAAACAAAGATTCCACTAAATTTATCTCGGCAAGAGACCCCAAACAGTGTGTGTGAGGTCTAGAGGTGTAGCAGCAAAGGGCCTAGAGATCTAGACGCATTGGGGTCCAGAGAGGTGATGGTGGTGATGAAGGTGGGGATCGTAATGATGGTGGCGGTGGTGGTGAGTGAGTGAGTGAGTGCGTGCGTGCGTGCGTGAGTGAGGGAGGGAGGGAGGGAGGGAGCGAGCGAGCGAGCGAGGGAGTGAGTGAGTGAGAGAGAGAGAGAGTGAGAGAGTGAGAGAGTCAGAGAGTGAGAGAGTGAGAGTGTCAGAGAGTGAGAGAGTGAGAGTGAGTTAGCGAGGTTGAGCGTGTGTGAGTGTGAGTGACAGTGAGAGTGAGAGTGAGAGAGTGAGCATCTGAGAGCGCAAAATGCGAAAGCTGCACTTCGAGGTTCACAAAGTACTGTGCCTGCCACGAAATCTGCACTTCGAAGTTCACAAAGTCCCGCGCCCGTTGCCACGAAATCTGGACTTCAAGGTTCGCAAAGTGCTGTGCCTGCCACGAAATCTGCATTTCGAAGTAAAACTGCTCCCACCCGCCGCGGCCCAAAGATTCCACTAAAGAATCAAAATAGTTCTTGAGCATACTAGCTGCTAAGAGATTCGCAACTCCCAGACATGGACCTTCTCTTTTCTGATTAAGACATTTTTTGGATTCCCCACAACCTTTAAGCGCGATCGAACACTATGCCATGCGACCTTGTCACTGTGTGTAACGCCGAAGCTGCCTGCAGTACTCCCGAGCGCATCGCCACTGCTCAAACCAAGATTACCTTTCAGAGTTACTAGCAACACCTTTTGAATTGGCCAAGCGATCAGCGTGACCGTTCCAAGGCATCCATCCATTGACCACTTTGCTGCGCGACGGAACCCAAGCGATCTCACACATCACTTTTTGTGGAATGGCCCGAACCGCATTGACAAGCCGGAGAGCAAGTAGAGTGGTCTCAGCGTGACAACACTCATCTGCAACACCAATGGCCGACTTGTTATCCACTGCCACAACAATGTGTCCGCAACGGGTGTGCGGCTGATCAAGTCCAATCAAGATGGCACCACAAAGCTGAATCAAAGCTTCCAGCTCGGCGCCAACGGAAGACTGATCCTCACCCCGGACACCACCCGCAACACCGCTGTCAAGCTTGGGCACATACACCGCCCATGCAGCAACCTCTTCCTTTGCAGAACCATCTGTAGCGAAGAAGGCAACGTTCGAGCACAACGCTTGTTCCACCACACGAGTCAGCGAAGCAATGCTGCGATCAAGATCAACATCCACTGGCGGGCAGGAAAGGTTCAAGAACTTTGACCAAGAGCCGCTCCTCTGCCCGATTCCAAGGTCTCGCAACGCCGGACGTGACAGCGCCTCGCAATTCCAGATCAAGTGCGGCCTGCTCGGCTGGAGCAAGCCATCACGTGAAGATTTCTTGTCAACTGACGGTGTCGCCGGTTCTCCTGTACCTTGTAGGCAGTGGACTTAGGAGGTCGGCAGTTTTGGCACCATTAAGCGCTCCTCGCAATATATAACTCTTCCCAGTGTGTGCCCCTTGTAATCACAGGGATTCAGTTGAATTGTTCTTTTCTTTTCTTTTTCAGCAGGGGCGTACGGCTCGTCATACCCACCGTACGCAAAGAAGCTACGGTATGACGAGGGAGGGGTGGACTGATCATCCACCTGTACCTGCTTGAATTTTAATTTTGCTGAGTTGATTTTGCATTCCGCAGACTTGCGCGCCACGCCGTCAACCTGTCGGATCGGTTTCGTCTTACGAGTTTGGCCCCTTCTCCGTTTGAGGACCCCAAGGCTCCAGTGGTTTCCTACTTGTACCCTTACAAATTGGTACCCTACGCCGGCGGTTGGCCGCTGTCAAGTCCGTACGCAATATCCATAAGCGTGTCTCTCCCAGTGAGAGTCAGTCCGGGATGAGCCCATAGAGTGCCTCCCGTGGACCCGTCGAACGGGTGTCTGTCCATGTTCCCCGGCTTTGGGAACGTAGGTGTCCGGAGCGGACAGCAGATGGCTTATACCACAAGAATTGGGATTTTTGTCTCATCTTTGGAATTCCAAGTTGGCTCACGCCTTTACGTGACCGCAGCGGTCAGAGGTGGCTGCCCTCGGGCATGCCGTACGTGGTCGCAGCGATCGAAGTTTGTTCAAGGTTCATTGGAACCTGTCGGCGACTTAGCTTTCCTTTCAATTTCCCTTCTTTCCCCGCCATGTCTCCTTCTCCCGCTGGCCTGGCGCCGATGGAGGGCATCCCGATGATGGCTCAGGCAATACTACATCGTGAGATTCTCCATGTACATGCCTTTCTGGGCCTTACCCTCACCCTTCTTCGCACTCGAATGGCAATCCTTTCCCCTCCCTTCATGGAACGTGTTACCTCACCTCACCCTCAGGTGCAACTTCGAGGACTTGATTCTGCAATGCGACACAAGCCACCCACACTGCTCTCCACTACACCCATGAGTTGATGACTATATTTGGCTTGATTCACACTCTGAATTCCGACAACGCTCAATTGGAGGCTGAGCTACGTGGTACTACTTCGTTCAGAGATCATCACATTCCCCCACCCCGTCCTCCATCTTCTTCGACTACGACTACCTCCATGCCGGACTATGACGGCTTCACAGATTCATTGCCGCCGACGACGACCTCTACTACCCGACCTTCTCGTGGCATAGTCGTTGCTACTTCGACCAGACCTCTTTCCCGCGCCGAACTCAGAGGCACCTTGAACCGCTCCCGCTCCCGTTCTCGTTCTCGCTTGAACCCGCGGGATCCTTAGTTTCACCCACTACTTTGACACGCCCGCCTTTCAAAAGAGCACACCGATCTTCTCTCTTAGAATATGACTTCACATCCACTTGTCTCTCTCACAATGGATTCACTTGTCACTAATTTGTCGTTGGCCCCAGTCCGTTTTCCATGTTTTTATTTCAGACTGTTGATCTTGATCCGTCCTTCGCCGCTTCTTTACCGTTGCCGCCATGCACTCTTCGACTTCGACGCCTACGAATCCACCTGACCACACCTCACCTTCTCCTCCTGCAGGTTTGGCACCCATTGAAGGCATACCTATGACAGCCCAAGCTGTACTACATCGTGAACTTTTTCATATACATTCTTCCTTGCGGCTGATCCTCACCATTCTTCGCGGTCCTTGGGATACTTTGGCTTCTCCTCTCGCTGATGCCATCACTTGTCCTCATCTTCTTGCTCAACTTCGTGGATTGGAAGCCAGCATAGACCAGACCAAACGTGCCGCCTACACCACCCTCGACTACACTGAACAGCTCCTCACTACTTTTGGCCTGATGCATATCACCCGCTTTGATCGTGACCACGCTCGATTGATTGCAGAACTTCACGGCCAGACTTCTTTCTTGGATCCACGATTAATTTCCCTCCGCGCATCCTTCCTTCTTTCCAGTACCTGTGCCCTCTTCACCTCCTCCCTTGGATGGCCCTTTTTCGACCACTTCGACACCTACCACCGGACCGGGCTCGCTTGTGGTGACTACACCTCTTCGCTTCTAGTCTACCACCACGGCGCCGCGCCCAGCTATGAACCATTTGACGACGACTCGATCTCGATCCCGTTCTCGACTGAATCCCCGGTATACCACCCTGTCTCTACTCGACTATCGACTAAAAAGGATCCACCACCTGTGTTTTTCTTTTACTTTTGTTAACACCTTCCTTTCCACTTCATGTTTACATTTGGTCTCTACACTTTCTCCTCCTGATCCTTGGCTTCTAGTACGCGGACCTATTCGATTCGATTTCATTTTCGACTTCACTGGAGCCATGTCCGGCACGACCCCACCGCCTTGTGGCCTTACTCCGACACCGGGCATTCCTATGGTGGCCCAGGCAGTACTACATCGTGAACTACTTCACGTACATGCCTCTTTGGCCCACATCAACACCATTCTTCGACAACCTCTTGCTCTTCGTTCCCCTCCCCTCCTTGATCGAGTGGCTCACCCGCATCTTCGCGCTCAGCTTCAGGGTCTCGACCACACCCTCCTGACTGCGCTACGTGTCAACCACACTGCCATTCACTATACCCACAAACCTCACCGCCATGGGCTTACTACACATCCTGCACCACAGCCCGGAACAACTTGAAGCTGAACTTCAGGGTCGTTCGACTTTTGCAGACCGTTTGCCTCTTTCTACCTCTTCAACTATCACCACAGTTGATGGCATCACAGTATTTGAAGGCAGACCTCATCATACTTTTTCTTCCAGTGACTTCCACTTGTCCTCGACTTCGCCTTCGATTACCAGAACAGGCGGCGCCTCCGTTCGAGCTCCACCTTCTTCAGGACCTACTCCTCGCAGTGATTCACCGCCAACACTTGTGTTTGCTCGTTCTCGGTCGCGGTCTCGACCTCGGTCGACCCCGTCCTAGCTCATACGTCTCACCCCACTCTTTCTTCCTGCTCAAAGGAAAACTCGTCGTGATCTACCACTTGATTCTGCACGCTGTTACCTTCATTCCCTTCTGGCTTGTCGCAACCACAGGTGTTTTTTTCATTTGTCTTATTTCCTTTGCCCTGGGGCTCCAGCAGATTTGATATTTCTTGACTCCATGTATGCATCATTTTCAACCTCAAGCTTCTCCCATGTTGTTTCTCGATTTTTACAATGCTATTTCGCCGATCACATCCCCGTTCTCCCTCCACCAGACGACATCCCCTGAGGATCCGATATTGAAAAAATCAATATCGCAAAAACATTTCAATAATATTGAACTTGATTTTTTTCAATCGTAGGATTGATTTTTTCAATATTGAAGATTGAAAAATAATCAATATTTCTGATCAATATCGACCAATATCACGATCAATATCAAGACCAATATCAATGTCAAAAGGAACTCCACAGGATCTCCACAGGATTCTAAACTCCACAGGAACTCCACAAGATCTCGATAGGATGGTAAACTCCACAGGAACTCCACAGGATCTCCACGATCAATATTGACCAATATCATGTTCAATATCACGATCAATATCATGATCAATATTTGAAACCAATATTGACCAATATCATGACCAATATTATTTTGATCATGATATTGATGTTTTTGGCTTCCAAGTTGACCATTTTCAATATTATTGAAAAAGATTTGGGGCCAATCGTAGGATTGATTTTTTTCAATATCGGATCCTCAGGGTCATTCACCACGTCAGGATCGACACACTTCCGGGAACAAAAATCGGCATCACTATGACCAACCTGACCGACCAACTTCACGGGACCGCTCCATGCGTCAGGATGTTCGTACTTCCGGCGCTCAAGATCGACGACAATCCGATCTTCTCGATAGTCACACTTCAGGAGATCGTGATCGGCGTCATCCCAACTCTCGAGCTTCCAGGGGTCTTTCTGACCACCCACACCGACGATCCTCCGAGACTCCGGATCGACACCAAACCACCAGTCGCACCCGACGAGATTCAAGGGATCGAGATCGGCTCCCATCTCGCCATCATGATCGACGAGTTTCCCGCAACTCATCTCGTTCCCTGCCACGGACTAGCTCCCGACGCAGCCGGTCCTTTCGCCCACCCCCCTCCACCTCTTCCGCAGTTCCGGGACTCGTCCTACTTCCCGGCCCTGGCGACAATTCACGCTCCCTTCCCACACCCCCTGACTCTTCCACACCAATTTCACGTCCCACAACTCCCCCACAAGCTTTCCAACAATCCCCACCACCTTCCCACCCACCCTCCACCGCACTTTCCAACCCTGAAGCTGAAGAACTTCGCCAACCTCGTTTCCAATTCCAACAACAAGCTGCTCAACAACAACTTCAACAACAAGCCGCTCAACAACAACTTCTACGCCAATCTCAATTTGCACCATTCCTCCAGCCTTTCCAACTTTATCTTCCACAAATCGCTCCTTCGACCATGGCCACACCCACACCACCTCCACCGGAGCCCACTTCAGCGAGTGACCATCCAACCGCACCCCCTGGCCCATCCAACCCTTCCCCACACACCACCACTGCCGAGCCAGAACCAGATGATCTCTCTATCTCTCTTTTCGCACCACCACCATCAACCAACACCACCAACCTTTCTCCTGAAGCACCAGCTACTCGCACTTCACGACGGGGCAAACGACCTGTCACCCCTCCGACCTGGGGACTTCGCTGGGAAAGTCGAACTACATCCATGAGCCGCTTGGAGGAATCTGGCGACTTGGTATATTTGATGGGCAATTTAGCCGAAATCCGTCTCAGTCCGGGTCCTCAACAGCACATTTGGACTACACCTTTCTGGCTTCACATTCGCCCTACTGGGACTCTCGACCACGATCTCGGCTTCCACGAATGGGATCGACTTCTCAGTTCTGTCGACCATTATCGTGACGATCTCATCGACGATCCTTCTCGACCTTGCAGCTGGGAAGAATGCTAGGCACCAGAAGTTCTACCCCGCACTCTTGTGGAGACCACCATCCACGAGATCATTCGCCGAATCGCCTCCTCCCCACACCTCTTCGTCGGCAACTACATCAACCACATTGCCCACGTGCCCGGCATCATTGAACGCAATCCCGTTTTCCTTTGGGGCAAGCTCCCCTGCCGCCGGTCTATTTTCTTGCTGCTCCAAGTTGGACTACCCCAAATCCCAATACTTCCGGTTGACCCAACACCAGACCGTTTACACCTTTGTTCACATAATTGTCCACCGGTGTCCCTTCAAGGGATTCTCACGGACGGCGTCATTCGACCCAGCTCTTGGAAACACGCACGGGAAGTTGGAAGCTAACTACTTTCCCAGTTTGGGATTCTATTGTCGATGCTGCTATCCGGGACATGGTCATTACGAGGACAATCGGACCAACAATGAAATTACCGGCACCTTGTCCGCAGAGCTTCAATGTGTCCTTCAGTGCTTCGTGGCTGGAGAGTGTTTCTCCCACCAAGCTACCCACTACCTCGTGAAATCGGGTGGTCTTCCATGCGATGCCCTTGCCAGCCACTTCTATGATGTGATCAGGAACAAATCGGACAGGAGGTACAAATGCAGGAGCTCGGTAAGTCAAATTCAATGCTGGATTGTTCATCAGTACGGATGAGTTGCCCGCCTACGGCCTGCGTCGCGCTGATCTTCCCCTTTGACTTTCTCTTCATCCACCTCCAGCTGTACTATAGCCTTTAGCAGCGTTGCGACCTTTTGTCGCTATTTTCTGCCATTGGAGCGCTCTTCCTTCATGAAAATTACTTGGGCTTTCTGCATCTTTACTTCTTTTGGTGTCACCACCACGCCACTAACTTTTCCCCCTTTCCCACTGACACAGTTTTGACCCTTCCCCACAGTGGCTCAAGTTTTGACTGGACCATCCAACCTGCTCCTTTCCCTCCCTCCTAGCCATGGAAGCCTCCTTCTGGTCTACGTTGGAAAACCATCCTCAGCAGACGCCTTTGGGCATCATTGCTCTTCTGATTTCACGCCGTTCTCTTTTGGATTCGATCGCGCGTTCCTTGGAGGTCTTGTACGACATGCCTTTCACTACTACATTTCCTCCCGGTCTTCCACCACACTTGGAACAGATTCTTCGTGATTTACATGCTTCCACTGAACGGATGCTCGAGGAGGTCTCGCTCGCCAATCGACTCTTACACCGCTTGGTCTTATCCACCTCATGCTCTACCGGCTCAACCTTGGCTTCCTTCCGGTACTACGTTGCCACACCTACCCCATCCTTATGGTCCGGGCCCTCCACCTTCATTTAGCTCTGAGTCCATCCGAGTGTTCTCCAGGGCCAAACGCCGCCCTCTTCCATCGTTCGCCCATTCGAAAACATGCTTTCGTTAGCTTCAATTCAATTTCCTAACACCTTTACCAAGTTTATTTTCACGCTTCTCAATTTGAATTTTTGCTTTCCTTTACCCTTGTCTCCTCTTCTCCGCAGCCGACTCAGGTGCTGCTCCATCACGTTATTGTTGCCACTCATAGACCCTCCTCCTACCGGCTTACTTGCTGCTTCGACTGCGCCACCCCCTCGCCAGGCGGTCTTCAATCCCTATGACATTCCAGTCAGCCCCCCACCAGGACCCGCTCGACCTCAGCCTCAACATCAACCAGGACTTCTCTGGCTCCATTGGATGATTTGCTTGGCGGCCTGGATTACTGAATCTCTTTGCTCCCACCCTATCATGGCCGAAGCAGTTCCACCGGATCAATACTTTGAAACCATTTCCCCCCGGAACATTTACATTCAGATGCGCCGGGCCATCCATGAGTTCAACATCCTTCAACGTCGTATCGCTCGTGGTGTCTCTCTCCTCCAATTTGTTGTTCCTCCTACAGTTCCTTCAACTACCCATGGACAATACCGCGTCCATCCCAATGGCTTCATTCGTGCGTTGGGCGCTCCAGAAGAGAACTACAACCTCGGTACTACAGCAGATGACGCTTTGCTATCCCGTCGACAACCTCATCGCAATTTTGACTCCTCTACACCGCCGGAATCATCACCTACACCCGCCACTCCGGCTACACCTCCACCCGCCACTACACCGACTCCTACATGCTCTCGCTCCCACACACCTCCCCCTGTCAACATCCTCCCTCCGCTACCGGGCTCTTCTACATCCACCATGGACAACCTCCTCTCGTGGCTCGACGACCTCCACCTTATCTTCCACCTTGGATCGCTCTCATCAGGTCGTGGTATCCTACGTGGACATCTATGGCAAGCCACCCGTTTTCGAACTACGACGCCATTGCCGAACCCCCTGATTACCAACGAGGGTTCATCGCCTCCACCTCCTGAGCCAACTTCATGATTTCGGCTTTTCTCACTTTTTCACTTTTCATTTTACTCTCATACTAGTGCAACGCGTCGGAAAAAGATTGCGCCCCCTGCTGTACAATCCTTCCTTTCGTTCTCCGTTTCCACCGCCATTTACTCTCACTTTCGCTTTTCTATTTTCCCGCCGCATTTCCTCTCCAGTTCTCAATTGGTGAACTTACCCTTCCCGGCTCTTTGACCTTCCTGTCGACGACACCCTCAGCTCTCCATGGCCTGTGGGCGTTCTACGAGCAGCTCTCCTGAACCTAGACATGCGTTTGTACAGGATGATCTTGTACATGGCACGTATGGATGATATGTACGTGATCTTGCCAGACAGCCAAATGTACGAGAAATGCCGTGAAATCTTGAATGTGGCAACCTTCCAATGATTTGCAAAGGAAACCAAAGGAAAACAATATTGAATGTGGCAACCTTCCAATGATTCCACTTGCTTTGCAAAGGAAATCAAAGGGAAACATAGTCTTTTGCGTGGATTGTTGGACAATGTTGGACAATTAGAGAACCCTCGCTATCATTATGGGTCGCTATATATATATATATATATATATATTTGTTGAAGGTTTTTGTTATATATGTTTTTGGGTGGATATAGCTGCACACATTACACGTATAAATTGAAGGTCCCTGCACTTGCTGTCCGCTCGCCGCTTTTTTCGCAGCTAGGCTTTCTACATCATATATATATTAATATTAATATGGGTTTATAGTGTTTGTCAAATATACACAGGCAACCGCACATGCAATGGTCATTGCCTGTAAACGCAGTGAAGCTACCAATGTACCATGGTTCCCTTAATTTCTTATGAACCGGCTCGCGGGGCTGCGGCCGCGAGTGTTGTTGCTCCTTTTTGCCCGAGGCGCAACTGCAGATCTGCTGTTGGGTACTGGGGGATGGGTCACTGAGAATGGTGAGGGTTGATCCCATTTCAAAAGTGGTGTGTGCGACGTGCTGCTATATTTTGTGGACTATATTGTGGCTCAAGCACTAATGTACAAACTCTAGATGTCTGGCAGCTGTGATGGAGGGCTCACCTTATTCGAGCATTCCTTTGTCGCTGCAGCGGAGGATCACCAAACATGTTGCTTTGATGGACTGTGGATGTGTTTTTTGGTGGTCCCAAATGCCCCGCAAAATCATTACCTGTTTGTTTACCCACATATGTCATGTCATGCCGTCCATCACAGGCTTCTGAAGAGCTTCGCAGCAATCACGATCCTGAGGAGGAATATTTGACATCGGAGGTGGAGACCGAATGCATGGCACCTCGCAGTGGGGTCTGGAAATAACTGTTTCATTTGTTGATGAAAATGGTTTACATTAATGTTCATCCACAAAGGTACCATTGGCAAAACGGCAACGTGTGGACGTGGACGCAGAACAAGATGAAGAAGAATTACCGATGGAAAGGGAAACTTGTAGTGGTTTGACATTTTCTTTAAAAAATGCTTTATCTATCTATATATATATATATACAGGGCATTGGAGCCTGGATCATGGTCATAGTATAGATTTTCAATTTGGCAACTTAGGATGATGTTATCGAGTTTGCGGCAGCTGGCGCAATTATTATGGCCAGCGCAAAGATGATTTGCCCTCTCTTCAAGAGAAATCTGTGGAGTTGCCTTTGACGGTGCTGGGACATGGTTTGCAAGCTACCCCCAAGCATGCGCCGCCAGTCACTTGG